TGTGTAGTGTGTGTGTAGTATAGTATATATATATATATATATATACTATATATATATATAGTATATATATATATATATATCACTAACTCTTATGTCGATTACATACTTGCAGTTCTTTTGGTCCTGGCACGGAGTGGGTTTCTGGAGTGGACTATCAGATGTCTGATGATGCTGAGCGTAAATCCGCTTTCGTAGATGCAATTAAAAGGTGTGCCTACTTGCAAGTGCACATCTTGGTGTCGTGTGTAGTCTCCCGATAGAGCTGTTCTAGGGCGTAGGGACTTTGGGTTTTAGTGCTGTGGAGTGATGGTGATCGCCCACTTAGCAACCCTACTGTGTGGGTTGGCATAGCAACCCTACTGTGTGGGTTGACATAGCAACCCTACTGTGTGGATTGGCATAGCAACCGTACTGTGTGGGTTGGCATAGCAACCCTACTGTGTGGGGTGGCTTAGTATACGTCTCTGTTCTCGGCTGCACTCGGCTGGTCACAGCTGACCGATCAACCACTGTGCCAGTGGTGTGTCTCTGAGTCTATTCTTCTGCCCATGGCCATTAATAGGTCACTCATCCTCATGTAGGTAGGTAAATGTCCTGGTGTCTGTCCCTACAAGCATTGGCTTGGCCCATAACCCCTGACACCGGTCCTGTTGTCCATTTTTCAGGTACTGGCCCGATGTGGACGCTGAGAATGTGAGTCCGTCCTACAGTGGCATCCGCCCTAAAATCGTGGGGCAAAACGAACCAGCCGCCGACTTCATGGTGTGTGGCAGATACGAATAGGGATGAATAAGGGGGACATTCCTAAAATCCTAAACCCTAAGCCCTGATTCCTATCATACGAGTAGTGTATACAGGGCTATGCCAACGCATAGTGTGTGTGTGGGTGTGGGTGTTGTACTGTGTCGTGTGTGTGTGCGTGTGTAATATAATCTATTGTGTATGTGTACTTATTACACCACATCGTGTGTGCGCGTGCTCGATTGCCTAGTGTATGTGTGTCTACTATAAACTTATGGCGTATGTCTGCTCGTTATATCACCCAGTGTGTGTGTGTGTGTCTGTGTCTTTTGTGTATCTATATGTGTGTTTGTCTTGTGTCTGTGTCTGTGTATGTGTATGTGTACGTGTATGTGTATGTGTATGTGTATGTGTATGTGTATGTGTACGTGTATGTGTATGTGTACGTGTACGTGTACGTGTATGTGTATGTGTATGTGTATGTGTATGTGTATGTGTATGTGTATGTGTATGTAGTATGGGTATGTGTAGTGTGTATGTGTATGTGTATGTGTATGTGTGTGTGTATGTGTATGTGTCTGTGTATGTGTACGTGTACGTGTACGTGTATGTGTATGTGTATGTGTACGTGTATGTGTATGTGTATGTGTATGTGTATATGTCTGTGTATGTGTGTGTATGTGTACGTGTATGTGTATGTGTACGTGTATGTGTATGTGTACGTGTATGTGTATGTGTATGTGTATGTGTGTGTGTGTACTAGTGTTTCGTGCACAGTACATTACAGTTCAACTTCCGAGAAGGCGATAGTTTGCGCTTCTGTTTGTGGACTCATTGGCGTTTGAAGTAGTTTCTCATTTTGCTTTCACATGGTCGCATACGATTGGTGTCTGTAGTGTACTATAGGGTTATATAGCTACACCCTAAACCCTAAAACCTATAGTGTTTTACAGTGTACGTCCTTTACTTCTGGACCACACCTCTCCCACACCACGAGACCCCTGAGCTATATCTTTATTTCCCACATGCTACTACTGTTGTTGTCTTTCCTACTGTCATATTATATTATTGACTGCTGTTATATCTTTATTTTATACATGCTACTGCTGTTGTTGTCTTTCCTACTGTCATATTCTTGACTGCTGTTATACCTTTATATCCCACATGCTAATACTGTTGTTGTCTTTCCTACTCTCCTATTTTGACTGCTGTTATATCTATATTTCACACATTTGTCTTAACTACTCTCCTATTCTTGACTGCTGTTGTTGGCGTTACCGCTATTGTCTGCACAGATACAAGGTCCCCGTGAGACGGGGTGTGGCATGGTTCATCTGCTGGGCATTGAGTCGCCTGGGCTCACCTCTAGCCTGGCCATAGCAGAGTACGTTGTGAGTAGTTTAGATCAGCCACCAGCTTAGTCATACGACACAGATACTATAAATAAACGGTAGATATAGTGCAGGATGCTATAAGCTTTGCAGAGTACGTTGTGAGTGGTATAGATCAGCCACCAGCTTAGTCATACGACACAGATACTATAACAACGGTAGATATAGTGCAGGTTGCTATATGCTTTGCAGACTACGTTGTGAGTGGTATAGACCAGCCACCAGCTTAGTCATGCGACACAGATACTATAAATAAACGGTAGATATAGTACAGGTTGCTATAAGCTTTACAGACTACGTTGTGAGTGGTTTAAATCAACCACCAGCTTAGTCGTACTACACAGATACTATAAATAAACGGTAGATATAGTGCAGGTTGCTACAAGCTTTGCAGCGTAAGCTGTGAGTAGTTTAAATCAGACATCAGCTTAGTCGTAGTACAAAGATACTATAAACAAACGGTAGATATAGTACAGGTTGCTATAACCTTTGCAGAGTACGATGTCAGCAGTTCAGAGCTGCCACCAGTGTAGTCATACTATACAAATACTATAAAAGCTGTATGACATGTAATCTTAATGTATTATGTATGTATTATGCATGTATCATGTATGACATGTAATCTTAATGTATTATGTATGTATCATGTATGATATGTAATCTTAATGTATTATGCATGAATTATGTACGACATGTAATCTGATTACATGTATGACCCACACATGTAATCTTAATAGTTTATAGAGACGAGTGTACATGTAATCTCAATAGTTTATACAGACGAGCGTACATGTCATCTTAATAGTTTATACATTCGGGTGTACATGTGATCTTAATAGTTTATACAGACGAGTGTACATGTAATCTTAATAGTTTTTACAGAAACGAGTGTACATGTAATCTTAATAGTTTATACAGACGAGTGTACATGTACTCTTAATGAGTGTACATGTAATCTTAATAGCAAGTGGGATGACTCAGAGGAAGCCTTTGACCATTGATGATATCTCCCAATTGGTATCCAGCGAGTACGGCTCACTGACCGTCGCGCCATCGGCACTGATGTCACACACTTCAATCTGTAGTGTGAGCAGTGGGGTGGGATGTTAATAGTTGATAGTGAACATGTTGTATGTGGGTAGGGTTTGGGGTTAATTATAGTTGATGTGTCAGTTATAGGTAATATGTTGTATGAAGTTAGGGTTTGTAATCAATCATAGTTGATGGGTTAGTTATAGATAATATGTTGTATGAAGTTAGGGTTTGTGGATACTTATAGTTGATGTGTTATTTATAGTTAACATGCTAATTATAGTTAACGTGTTAGTTATAGTTAATGTGTTTAAGTATAGTTCGTATCTCATTTATAGTTAATAAGTTAATTATAGTCATTATGTCGACTATAGGTAATATGTCGACTATAGGTAACATGTTAACTTTAGAGAATACGTTAAATATACTTCATTTGTTATATATACATAATCTGCTATATAACAAGGGTGACCAACCCGCAACCACATCACGAGACGCGAATCCGTACCAAAATATAAGTAACTGTTCACAAATACTCTCTATTGAAATATTGGGAGGTAGCAATAGTGCAGGTATACTAAACACCCTCCCCCACTCCCCCTGATTACGGAAAAGGAGGTTCTGTCTATTTCTAATAGATATGCTGGACTGTAACTATCCGATCTGTGTAATCGAAAACGTATTCATAAATATCACAGTTACGCCCATGGCAGTTCAATAATGTTTGGCCCTGAAGTCACACTTGGCATACGTAAATTACGTGAATCACGTGAAATACGTGAATTACGTGAATTCCATCCCGTGATACATGAATTTGTGCATCTGTCGAGATCAACACGTGCTTCTGCCACACTCTGACAGGCGCATATACTTGACATTTACATATCTTCCCCACTCTTTGTCACATTCACATGCACCAAAACCCTAGAGCATAACCTGCAAGAAAACCTTACCTTGTTGAGTGAACGGGCATCGCGGTAGTATAGCACACGCATGACATTCTCAATGCACGTCACAGCCTCCTCCTTAGTCATGTTGGGATTCTTCTCATGTGCTGTAGGGCCACAGAAACACGCCACACGCAGACGGTTAGCATATGTAAGGATAGCGTACAATGGTGTGATTGCCATATAATATGATTGGCATAAGTTATGATTGGCATATGTATATTATGAATGGCATATGTAAGGATAGTGCAATGGTGTGATTGCCATATAATATGATTGGCATAAGTCATGATTGGCATATGTATATTATGATTGGCATATGTAAGGATAGTGCAAAGAATATGGGGATGGGTGTGCGAGCGGTAACGTAGACTGGGATTAGTCTAGTCTAGTCCTCTACTGAGGCACATCATATATATATATATATATATATGTGTGTGTGTGTATGTGTGTGTGTGTGTGTGTGTGTGTGTGTGTGTATGTGTATATATTTATATATATATACATGTGTGTGCGTGTGTATAAACATATATATATATATATATACACTAAAAACCCTACAACTTAACCCCCCCTAAAAGTGGGAAACAGTACAACAGCCGATACAGATGTATTTTAGATTCGCATGACAATGTCCACACAACACAGAAAGACATTGAACTGGAACGTTCCAGACAGAAAAGGAGATACATACAAAATACAAATAAACAAAAGACGTACATACATACAACACACACAAACAAAAGACGTACATACATACAACAGACAAACAAACAAAAGGCGTTCACGTAGACAGCTCTGTATCCAAATATCAATACAATTACAACTGCACGTGTTTATATCGTTTCTTGCTTCACGAGCACAACCAGCGGCATCATTGATTACAGAGTCGACAAATGGCACCCACAACACTATCGAGAGAAGTGTTTACAGCGCATAGACCACGCACGCGCATAGACAACCAGGCCGACACCATCCATCTCACTCAACGTTACTGTGGAAACCGTGCGCCAATCCAGAGCCAAAGGTGGGTCGTATTTCGTATTTCATACTGACAATAGAGATGCAGATACATACCCGCGCGTAGGATAGGCAGGCCGATGTAGGCGCCATAACCAGTAGCAACGGTGTCATCAGTCCATGAGATGCCCAATTTGTCAGTCACACCCAACAGCCTGTAATGGGCACGGACAAGAGGATGTGGGTCAGTCAACCACGAAGGATCTCAGACGAACGCGTATGATTGGAGATAACGTTTTGGAACATAGAGGGCTCGGAGCTATGGATGGAAGTACCGAACAGAGAGGTTCGAATGGAGTGTCTATATACAAGCTGTTAACGCCATGAGTATGGCGTTGGGTCTGGATAAACGGTATCGTTGCCGTTGTGCCTGCAATGCGATCTGTTCAGTCTGTGACCGTGAGAGTTGAAGTCGCACGTTCATGGTAGAGCGTAAGCATAGATCACTCTCAGGCCTACTATAGCTTGGGCTGTAACACTCCACAACACCACCACACATGTGTCACAATCACACAGAAGTCAAGTCTTTGCATTGGTGTGTACAGCCATCGTGAGCATTACATCTGCAAGATCACACTACCTAACTCAATGCGAAGACTGGGGATACGACAGGGATATACCGCAGGTGACAGCACGCAACCAACCAAACAAAAACATCAAGATATCGCATGTATATATATGTATATATATATATATATATATATATATATATATGTGTGTGTGTGTGTATATATATACGACTAGTAGTACGTAACTATATGTATNTATATAT